CGGAAAGGATCCTGCTGTTTTACTGCCTGGCGTAAACATCAACCAGTATGCAAGCATGTGGATGCGTGGGGTCTTGTGAGTCAATCGGAATCCTTCCTGCTGGCATGCTCAACTATCATCAGCCAGAACGCAGGACAAAATTGTATCGGCATCGAAAGATTCATCGTGCACTCTTCCCAGCATGACGAACTGGTCAGAACACTGACGGAGCGCACCAAGAGACTTCGATTCGGCTCAGTCATGTCACCTTCTGCCGAGGGATACATTGCGCCTGTGGACTGCGGTGCCATGATCTCGCGAGATCGGTTCTCGGAATTAGAACGTCTCATCAACAATGCCGTGGAAGAGGGTGCTTCCTTGGAAACGGGCGGATCGCGGTGGAAGCATGTCTATTTAGAGGAGGGAGCGTACTTCTCCGGCACAGTGCTTGGGAATGTCGAAAACGGCATGGAGATCGCACAGACGGAACGTATGTGTCCCTCCTATTCCTCCCAGATGAATCCATTGACTGTATACCAGTGTTTGCGCCGGTTGCCCTTGTATTGAAGTACGACACCATTCAGGAGGCTATTGATATCGCAAATGGAACCAGATTCGGCCTCGGTGCCAGTGTCTTTGGACCCGATCAAAACCTTTGCTTGAAGGTGGCTAGACGTCTCGATTGTGGAATGGTGGCGGTCAACGATTTTGCGATATTCTATGTATGTTGTCTGTCTCCGCTTCAGATCATCTGCTCACGGTTTCTTCTTTCTTCTCTTCATACGCACAGCTTAAGTAGGTTGAGTCGATTGCTGTGGAGCGTTCGCTGATTTCTGCGCCGTAGCCAAGACCTTCCGTTCGGTGGAACCAAAGCAAGTGGATATGGAAGATTTGGTAAGTTCTCGGCTGTGTCATTGTTCCTGGAACGTTTCTAGACGGCGCATGTGTGTAGGGGGCCCCGAGGGGCTTAGATCACTGACAGCGCCGAAAGCCATCGTTGTGGATAAATGGCCGTGGTTGATGCAGACTTCGATTCCGGCTATTCTAGACTATCCTGTGCGATCGTTGAACCAGAGCTGGTGCGAACTTCTTCCTGCATTACAAAGATTTTCGAGACTGATAAGAGGAATAGGGATTTTATCAGCGGGCTCATTGGCGTCCTGTATGCGGACAGATGGAGCGAAAAATTCTCGTCGTTGAAACGACTGATACGGGCGTCATGGTACTAATAACTTAAAAGAATGGGGATAGATTAGACTTATCTGATATAATGCACGCGTTGGATGCCAAGTGAACTTGTGGATAGGCACGGATGCTTACATGTGACTTGTGACACACGCGGTCGTGTTGCTCCCGTTTACGAAGATTGACGAACATGCGAGACAACCAGTCCATGCGGTGGTCGACGTCGCCAGCTTCCTCTTCACTTCGCACGTCTCCATTTCTTCTTATAATCGCTAGCGCAAGCATGGCATCTGGTCATCTGCAATGTCGCTGCTCGCGCTCGCCACTCTGCTCTTGAGCGCTGCTCTGCCATCCATCGCGTCTCCTTATTGGACTGAGCTTTCGCCTGCGAACAGAGACCTCTTCAAGAGAGGTAGCTCTACATGTGGTACTGGTGGCGTCTTGTCGTGCACAAATACCACGGCCCAAAACACTTGCTGCTTTGAATCTCCCGGAGTGAGTCCACTTCTATGACGAGCGCTAAGACAAAAATGTACTGATTATCTGTAGGGCCACTTGCTACAAGTTCAATTCTGGGATACAAACCCGTTAGTCGTCTTTATTGTTGTACAATATATCAGGTCTGACCGACGTCCCATTTCAGGAGTACCGGCCCAACCAACAGTTGGACTATCCACGGACTTTGGCCAGATCAGTATGTTATCTGATAATCTGTTATCTGCAGACCCTGAACAAAGTGCAGCTGTGATGAAACCTTTGACCAATTCTGTGATGAGTCTCGACAGTACACAGACATTTCTGGAGTATGTTTTTTCCCTTCCGACTTTTATCGCTCTTATCATCTGCAGATTTTGACTGCCGCTGGTGCCACCGACACTCTCAATTTCATGAACGAGGTATGTTTTTCGAATTGCTTTGTTTGATTAACACCTACTAATGCATCCTCAAGTTCTGGAAAGATCAAGGTGGCGACGATGAAACCTTCTGGGAGCATGAATGGGGCAAGCATGGCACATGCATGAGGTGAGGCTTCTGTCTGATTTTCGCGACTATCAGCCTGAAAGGCTTGTCTTCACAGCACCCTTGTTCCTTCGTGTTTGCCCAAGGGCTCCGCAGCGAAAGCGGAAGCCGTGGACTTCTTCAACACTGTCGTCAGACTGTTCCAAGGACTGCCAACCTTCACATTCCTTTCCAGCCAGGGTATCACGCCCAGTTCTACTGCGACATTCACACTCTCGCAGCTCACCAGTGCCTTGAAAAAAGCTTCCGTAAGCTTTCCCTTTCCAGATGTTGGCTCGATATTGATCATTTGCAGGGCTTTACACCTGGTTTGGATTGCACAAGCGGGGTTTTGAATCAAATCACTTGGTATCACGAGCTCCGAGGGTCAGTTATCGATGGAACCTTTGTACAAATTGGTCTGTGCTATCTTCTGCTCTTTCCACGATTTTTCCTAACATCAGGTTGAACGTAGACGCTCCCCAAGCGGGCAGTTGTCCATCCACTGGAATTAAATATCCCCCTAAAACTGGCACCACTTCCACGCCTCCTAGCGGCCCGTCAAGCACAACGACCACTGGCTCAGTAAGTACTCTACGCGTCCGCTCCTCACACTTTTTTACCTTCAAAGCAGAGCCCCACTGGACCCCCAGGCTCTTTACCGACGAAGAGTACACTCAGCATCTTCCAGTCTGGTTCATCATCCAAGACAGGAGGACTTCTGACTGCTGGAACATGGTCCACGCAAACTCCTGCCACCTACACAATTTCCGGAAGCACCTCTTCGCTTACTCTTAGCACAAGCAAAGGCAAATGCCAGGTTTCCGGCGGTAGTCTGACTTGTGGAAGCTCGGTGACTACTGCGAGCACCTTTTCAGCTGTAAGTAGTTTTCTTGTCTGTTTTCTTGATCGCATATCGATGAGGCTTTTGTAGGTCACTTCGGGTAGTCAATTGTTGATTGCCTTCGGAGGTTCTACATCATTCTCAAGTGACGGTGTGCCCAGCGGAACAGTACAAGAGACTGTATTTACTGGGACCGGACACTCTAAAGCTTTCAGCATTGTTGTAGATGCTGCTTAGGGTGATTCTGTACATGTCGCGATTAAATGGAGCATTGAAAAATATATTTATGGATTCGCACCCGCGCGCTCAGGTTGATGTGTTTTAGCTATGCCTCCTCCGACGCCATCTCCTTCTTTGCACCTGGAGCTTCTGCCGCTCCCACTCTACCTCGAACAGCTTCACGGGGAAGACCCAGTTCCTTCGGAGCTCCTGTTACGGCTGTCCTCTGAGAAAGAGAATGGATTTCTCTCAATCACTCGCACGGCGACTGAGACGTCGATCGTAAGCGATGTGCCTACAACAGGATCCACCAAATGGGCGTGCCTCAAGGTCGTAGGACCTATGGATCTAGGTCAGAACTTCATGATATAGCTAAATTCTCTTCAACCGTTTTGAATTCGCCGCTATACTAGGCCTGACAGGCATTATGTCCGCGATAACCGAACCTTTGAAGAGGGCCTCAGTCCCCGTCTTCGCTATCTCCACATGGTATGCCAAATTCGCTATTTTTACCGGAATGTGTGAATAAATTACGGACGAAAGGGACACGGATTATGTCTTGATCCCCTACGCAAAGAGAAATGAAGGCGTATCTGCGATGCAAAACGATGGATGGGTGTTTGATCACTTGCCTCTATAATAATGAACGTGTATAATGTTGATAATGAGCGGGTAAAATAATTATGTTTATCTCCGTGGGTACCCCACATGGATGGGAAGGGGGGCGAAGGTTATCTGTGACGTTAAGTACTAGCTACGCAATTGCACACTACTGTTGTAAATTCTACAGTCTGTAGTGTTGAGTCGCCAAATCATATTTTGATTTTGATTTACTTTTCCAATGTGCCCTCGGACTCAGGGTCCTAATCAATGTCTCGCATCTTGCACCGAGGCATCAAATATTGTGTTTCCGCCACCACCGATCCTTCTCCTTTGAAAGGCCTTTTGTCATCAAGTATTTGCCACATACCACCTGAATTTGCGGATGCAGCGGACTTGTTTTATTCCTGGTTTTCCTGTGTCCTTTGTCTCTTTCCTGAGCGCCCTCGTTTGTTCTGAAATTGCCCTCGCATACATCAGAGTATCATTGTATCGGTAGTAACTCGCAATCACATCCCGTGGAATGCGCGCCTGATCACGACTCAACTGACCGTGACAAACAACATTGCAACAAATCAACGACGCAAACAGAGGTTGAAACTGAGTATGTTGAAACTCAGCACCTTGCTACTTCACTCGGCCTTTCGCTGTCAAAACAGTGATCTGAGCCATTCGAGGTTATGTTAGAGTCGGTAGAGACTTGGTGCTCAGGTCAATACCCATTGAACACAGATATATTCTGTTAATCTTTTGAAAATAATATACTGTACATGTAAATAATAAGAATTTAGTTCTGGATAGCCCAGTATTATATTCAATGCCCATGTGATTATTTGATGAAAGGACAGAAACTACAATAAACCCATCCCAGTTCACTTATGCTACTCCCGTAATCATTGTTTGGAGAGCCCGATGTGAGAGTGCAAAAGTAAAGGAATTGAGCTCAGACAATTCGAACTCAGCAGCTATCGGAATCCGAGAGTAAATCCGAACGGGCCAATGCCGAGCGCGTTGGGCAAAGGCTACGTGGGAATTTTATGTTACGTGGGAATTTTAGGTTACGTGGGAATACGTGCTGTCAAGGACCCTGATGAAATCGCCCGGGTAGTTCATAGTGGGGGGCTTCGCCCCCCAATCAATGCGGGAGATGCTTGATACAAAAAGAACAAAAGAATGACCCGAGCCCGGATTGAACGGACGACCTTGTGGAACTTCCGAAGCTGGAATCACACATTCTACCACTGAACTATCGGGTCATGTTGAAGGACTTCCTTTCATAGCATTCTAGTCTGAAGTCTGTGAGGCAGAACATATTGCTAGCAGTACAAGATAGGAATGATCATCACAGCGATTATATCGAAAGTGGTATGTAATGTTGGTACTGCAATTAAGCAGCTCACGAGATTGTCACTTCATGAGTGTCCATGGTAGTCTCAGGAAACAGGGCCGAAAAGACCTAAGCTGCCTTAATCGACTGAACATGGAACAATTGACGTACACCCTTACCTCGTCAATTATGGTATAAATTATATGTTGGTTAAGGCGCCGATTTTGGAGCACAGCAAATATGCGTATCGCACCATAGCGTGCATTTGAACGACCGATCATGTTAGCCGCGAGGTCTGTGTGTTATCGAGATCATGAGTACGACCGCTTGTTCCATCTGCTTGTTCTATTCACCTGGAATCAGAGCAGAAAGTTTCCTGTTAGCACTTTGGCGTGTAGTCATGCGCTCTTCGGGCGTCCGCGGAGTATTATTAGTCTTGAATTGCCCGCCAGGCCAAAGGGCATCGCGGAACGTGTTGAGTAAGGAGACAAGGCTTGAATCCGAGGCGAAGGTCTTGAAGGTATCTCTGAATTTCCTGGACAGATCATTAGGACAGCGTTCAAGGGAAAAGCATCGACCAACCTTTCTATAGTACCCCCTAAGACTTGTTGCAATATGATGACAACTGCTTGTCGACGTAGCCAATTGTTCTTCCGGTTCAGTTCGAAGATAGCTAAAATTAGGTCACAAATCGGGGCAGAAAAGGAAGAGCCACTGGTTTCTCCCTCCAATGACGTGAGATCTCCGGTTAGACGCAACAAGCGCTCTTCAGGAGCACTGGGACCCGTCGCTCTGAAAGCTTGAGCAACGAGATCTTCATCGTGGACGCCAGAGCCAACGATACCGGCGAAATCAGCAGCTTGTCGTGTCAATCTCTGGATCACAACATCCAACATAGATGGTCCGAAGAGCATGTCATCGAGACTGTGAGTGACGGTTTTATACATGCTGCGCATTAAAGCCTGGCCAGATGAGAGTGGCTTTGAGCCTTGAGAGCGGCTGTGATGTGCTGCATGTAATGGTGAGTCGCGGGAGAGAAAACTCTGCAGCTCTTCGGTTTCACAGATCAAGGGAAGGGCAATCAGATTCTGTCCTGTATGCCTGAGTGTGAGGGAAAAGGAGACAAGATATCACGTACCTGAATGTACTTCTCCAAGCCAACTCTCCGCGATTCCAGAAAGCTAGACGACATAGAAGTCACAAGTCGTTTTCCCGGGAAGTCCAGAAGTCGGACAACTAGGTATTTCTCCCTCAACCGTTGGTGCATCGCCAAAAACTCATTGTAACGACGCGCCAGGACCCAACCAGATGAATGTGTACCATCCGCACCTAATTGATTGACTTCGATCAGGTATCGGACAACCGGCTTGCCGTCCACTTCTTCAGTTGTCGAAGTCGCAATTTTGATGCTTGTACGTCCGGGTAACAGCCGATTGTCAAGCTCCTGTTGTTCGTATTGCGCCTTCTGAAAAGTCAGTTCCCTCAATTCTTTAGCCATCGCAATCTTGGATCTGCTAAGCAGGCGTAATTCTTGTTCATCCCCAGTCAACTCAGCCTTTCGTATAAGCGCATCCATCATAGAGTCTTGCGACTGAAGATCCTGAATTTTTGAATCCAGGTACGCTATGTCAACAGAAAGTAAAAGATCGCCAGGCCCCGCCGGGTGGAAGGTCTCCATGGAACTCTGGCTTAACTCATGCTCGGGTGGCTGGGTGTCCAATTCGTCATCCTCGGGCGCCCCATCTCGGAACGGTTGACTTTGGGTTTGAGGTAGACTAGACGTGATGCTCTGTCTTCCGTCGGATCTCGAATTTGCATCACTTTGTGATGTTTCGAACAGGTTTTCCTCGGCCAGGATATCAGAAAGCGCGCGCTGAATGGCGGCCATCTGGGTGGACTTGCTTAAGGGGTCAGATTCTTGGGTTATCGATTCGGAGAGATCATCGCTGAAGAGAGGAGACCGTCCAGGCGGCGATGCCAGGATCTCCAGATGCGATGGATCCTGAGACTGGCGGACGATGGAAGAAGTGCTGGAGCTCGATGAGTCCCGGACCTTCGAATTATGATGGGAGCGACCTGCGCTGGGAGATATGCTATCGCTGCGACGCGGTAGCGCACCAGGCCCTAACGAAATCGTAGGCCCGGAATATCCTTGTCGTGCCGGAGGCGATGCAACCGGTGTTGCAAGGCTAGGCTCTCGGTGAGGAATTTTGGTTGCCTTGCTCGAAGCGCTCTGGCTGAACCCAGGAATATCATCGATTGCCCTGAACCACAACCCGCTTTGCTCGAATCCACCAAAGTATTGCTCCATGTCGCGTTCAGCCTGACGTTGTGCCATGAACATACTGTGGCGTGCCTTCCTCGCTTTCGCGGGGGTGGATTCGGAAGGCTCCAACACGAAGTTACGAATCGCATCGACGTATTTCGGTGAAATCACTTGGAGGGCGACTGGAATGGTGTCCTGAGAAAAGTAGGTATTATATAACATCTCCAAGTCTTCCTTGACAGTCTCCACCGAGGTAGCGTCATGGATATCTTTGGTATCTTCTTCATCCTCGGATCCAGACGAGTCAACGTACTCCAATGGGTTCTTGAAACTCTCCACAGTCAACCAGAACTGCACCAACAATGCTTTGCGTTGTCGATCCATGTATTCCATGTAGTACGACAAGGAGCTTGGATTCATAAGGATGTCTCGTAAAGTTGGCTTAGCGGCCGGCTCTGTGTCTTGTGTAGATCGCTATGATGGTGTTAGCCTTTCCTATTTTCGAGAATAAGGCGAATATTCACGGAAACGTCGACGCCCCCCAATATAGAGATCCTGTTTTCGATTTCCTTCTTGGCAGTGTAGAGCCGATCTAAGAATGCGACAACCTCCTCAGTTCTCTCTCCTTTGATCTGTTCGTCATTCTCATGGTTTGCTGTGAAGAATGTCAGATGATTGGCAGGATAAAGAAATTTGAGAGTGACCTAGCAATGATCTGATACGCCGTATTTCTTGGAGAATATCATTCCGCAAACGACGAGCATCTAACAAAGACACCATGCGTCGGATACTGCGCAGGAAAGACTCGAAGTTTTTCGGATCGGTCTTGGAGGTTATGCTTTCTGAACGAGAAGCACCATGATTTGTACGCCCTGCTGCTCTCGGGGATGCGGTCTCGACCTCGAGCACATGTCGTACCCTTGAAATCATTTTCCTGTGGGTAGTCCTGTCAAAGGAAAGCTCTGAAAGTTTTGGATATTGCTCAACTGTTGTCTGATAGCAGCTCCAGCCTGTGAATGACGTGAATAAGGGGCTCTGATTCGTATAAAGCACGATTTGACTGACCATGTCGTCAATTAAACGATTCCAGAAGTCAGGGTCGGCGAGAACGTCGATTGCAGGTGCTGAAACCGTACATGCGAGGATTTCGCGGGTGGCATTGAGCACTGCAGGACTAGACGCCTCACTGGGAGGCATTAATAGAGGTAACGCCTTTGCTAGGAGCGATCGAAGATGTGCTTCTTCGCTCTGTCTTGTGGACATCGTAGAGAGATTGCTGATGGCGGGGTGAAGCTTTCCACCATTGGCGGCATATCGTCCTGCGAGCAAAATGTCAAGCTCATCGGACTGCGTCAAGTGTCGTTCCAATCCGGCGCCACGCAGAGCTGTCTCTGACTGTCGGAATTGCTCGACATGCGCAGTGATTTTAGGAAGAATTCGATAAACGATTAAATCGGGAATATCCAATCCAGCAACGCGGTTGAGGAGATTATTCAGTGTGCCATGAAGGGTGTAAGAGATTGCAGTGGGGAAGGTTGTCGACGAAGAGATATCTGTGTACCAGGTGAGGACGAAATCACGAACGATCAAGATCATGAGGTCATTTAAAGCCCCAGATGTTCCAGGAAGCTCTGGCAGCAGTGGTTTCAGGAGATGGGGGGATCGAAGCTCCCACCGCGAACGAGTCGTAGCAGCCTGCCATGCTGCGGGGGTGGAGAAAGCCAAGGGTCGAGCAGCATGTGTCTTTGGCTCTCGTGTCGTTTCGGGGTATTTATCCAACAGTAGACCTATGAGGATGTTGGAGAACACCAATATCACAAGACACAGGCCAAGAAATGGAGGCAGGATGAATATCAGAGCTAGTGGTGAACGCCATATGCGAGCAAGAAATGGGTATACGATGGCTATCAAGCCAATTGCGAAGGCAGAACGAGCATAGAGCGCCGCATTCATTTCGCAGCCATGGACGACAACATTGACGCCGGGGAGACGACTCAACCTAACCTGGGTTGACTCGAGTTTACTACTCAGCAGGCAGTATTAATATTGACATCGTTCTCCACACACAGCATCTCAAAAATATAAGAATGATATATTTCATCTATGGACATAGGACTGTCCGAGCATTGACATTTCATCATGAACGAACGAACATCGTGAACGGAAGTAAAACGGTGAACAGTGACCCTCTGGGCATCCAATCACCAGACAGTCTCAAGATCTTCGGTAGGTCTTCAAAAGCGGTGTCACAAAGAGTCCACCTAGAAAATCAAGTTCAAGTCAGAATGTGCAAGAATATAAGCAAGAATGCTCAAGACAAGATGAGGACTCAGAAATACCCGTGCGTGATCTCACTCGCGTCTAAAGACACGTCGTATAATAGGGAACACGAAGGGATCATCAGCGTCCTAAAAGCAGGGAAGATCTTCACCTTTGGGTGCCTGTTTGAGTCGATGCAGGCGTGCTTTGGGGGGGTCGTCAGATGCCATGAGCGGTGGGAACAAGGAAGGAAACGCAACCCTGAACCGGCGCTATCGCAACCTTCTTCGTCTCCTTCTCGCAGACGACTTATCCAATGGGCTTCGTCAACGACAATGAACGTGGCTGCTCACGAAAATAGCTGTTATCTGCGCTTTCGCTATCCCCCAGATCCAGGAAATGCT